GTTTCTTTCAGTTTCAGGGCTTAAACAGAAGGGTAGCCATGGCAACATTGCTGCGGGGCTGCTCCAGGCTGCTCTTCTTCGCGGCTTTTGGTGTATTTTGGCGGAAGTTACAGCGCTACTTACAGTCCCAGCATATGTACTACAGCGTTTCCAGCGGCCTCGTTTAAACAGACACGTTAAATGAAACAAATGCATGTGAACGGAAGACTTTTTTGAATACGCATACTGTGCATAAACGCAAACGGTCCCGTGTGAGCGGGGCTTTAGTCTGCTTCAAATTCACTTATTATCTTCACAGGATCATTTTATTAAAGTTAAAGCAAAACTTACTAAAGCATTCTAACTGTTTATGCTTTAACAGCAATTAATAAATGATCCAGCTTTGCTTTTGGCTAACTGTTTTTGTTGTTCTGCTTTATGATTGTAATGCATGACTGTGCCAACATGTGTCTCCTCCTCCCTGCTCTTGTTTGTAGGCTGCACCTGCTTTTCAGGAGACCAGGCCTCGCAATTATCTTCTTTCTGCCAGTGCATCAGCGGTAAGAGTCCATCACAAACTGCAGGGTCTGTCACCCAGCAGGAGCTAGGCTAACATGCTAACAGGCACAGAGCCAGAACACCACATACTCCAAAAGACAGATGATGTAGCTCACATCAGGGCACAGAGCCGCTGCAGCCTCACCTGACCCAGCAGCTCGTTGGCTAAAGCTATTGAATGTTGTGTCGGAAGCATTCTGAGGCCACAGTGGCTTCAGAACATGTATATAGTCTATCTTAAAAAACATCTTGAATTTATTTGTAGAAAGTTATTTTTTTATTTAACATGTATGGAGACTTTTTTTTGTTTCATACATTTTCAAAAATACATTGTTAGAATTTCTAAAAAGTACTCTTACTCCAACCACTAAAATAATGTAAATGAAGCAAAAGGCTCCTGAAATCCTTTCACATGTACTCACCAGTGTAACGCTGCCTTGCTGGGGTCCCAGTATATTTAAACTGCATGGGATGACGGCTACTAATGAGCACTGGACATGATATATGATCTGGAACTGTGACAGGCTCTGAAAGACTGCAATCCACTTCCGTAGTTGCCAGTGGCGGCCGGTCCATAGGGGCGCTAGGGGCGCCGCCCCACCTCTTCCCATATTGATAAAAATAAATAATAATTAAAATTAAAATAAAAAAAAAAAAATATGTTTAAAAAAATATATATGTTTTTATTTTTATTTTTAATGAACAAGGTAAATATTATATAATTGGTATCAGTAAAATGTATAATCTACAATAAAATCTCGTTTAAAATTGTGTTACGATGTCTAAAGTTACTGATAAGTCACATGTTTCCTGCCTGGCCTTGCCCATGCACCTTCTCTCGTCTGGGCGCTAAGAGAGGAGCCTTCAACCAGTGCAGCAGCAGCCACCAGCAGCTGACTGTTGCTATCTGTAACGTGTAAACTATGCCGCGAAAATATAATTTCAGCCAATTAGCGTCGTCAAAGATGACGGTCACCGGGCGCCAATGTCAGCGCCCAGTGCAGTCTGTGAGTAGTTTGGACAGTGACTCGTATCCGGTTGACGCAAGTAGTTGATGAGGATGGCTTCGTGTGCAGGTGGAGTCTCCGGACCTCGGTCCGCGCCTAATTCTGTTCAAGAGCTAATCTCCAATCCTTTCGAAAGGAGAAGTTTGGCAGATAAATTGTTGCTTAAAGACCTTGCACCGGACCAACCCGATTTGAATATATCGCAGCAATCTCGTGAAAAAGACAACATTTATACACGAGGCTTCACAAGTAGCTGGTACACAAGAAAGGCTTGGCTAGCTGGATGCAAACAGGTAAATGCTGTCTTTTGTTTCCCATGCTTGGATATCACTTTATATGTAGAGAGGAGGTTTCCCATGGTTGTTAGAAGTTTATTAATAAGTGGGCATTTATCACAGAAGTGATTGTTCTGTCTCCACGTTTGTTGCATTGTCTGTGATGTATTTTCCAACGGTTATAGCTCCTGTTCTGTCCCAGCAACACTACACGGTTTGCAGCTCCACCACATTTTTGGTTTATCTTCGGTGTCGCTTAAAATCTGCTTCCCATCGGACTAAAACCTCCACGTAATCTGAAGACAGATACTTGAAGTTATTTAAACCTTTTGCAAACTTTATGTTCTTTCTTGCTCTAGCCTTGCCAGATACATTGTACATAACACATATATTATCATTATGCTAACTGGTTGTTCGTGTTAGACGATGTAGCTTTTTCATTTCTGAGTTATTGATATATGTAAATAAGCCTGTTTGTAAATAATCCTCAGAGAAACAAAGAAAAAACACAATTTATGACATTTTGTGCTGTGGTTATTTTTTTTAAATTGCATTTATTCACAGTTCAGTTTGAAATGCTGTAGTGACTTGTATTGAACCACTTAAATATTTATAATTAATGCTACTGAAAAGATGCTATTAATTTTATATCTCACATGCAGTTCACTGTAAAGCTACTTGGTGAAGGTGTTGGTTCATAAAACATGAACAGTTTTAAGAAAGAAAAAAACAGACCAGTTCTGAGAACACAAATTCCTGGTAAAGTAGTAGATGTTCAGGTTGATAAATAATATTTTCCACACTGAAGATTATGGAGGTATTGATCAGTCTTCTCATATTTTTAAGCCTCGATTTCTCCTTTCCCCCCCCTCTAACATCACCAGAAGTCATCATTTAAGGGGTCATTTCTCGAAAAAAAAATTCGGGGGGAAACCCCCCGGGTAGGTCACTTGCGGTACGTCAAGAGCCCCACCAAAAAAAAAGACCACCGGCCGCCACTGGTAGTTGCACTTATAAAGGGAAACAATGGCCTTAATGAGTCCAACTGGTCACAAAAACCAAACATTTTTAGATTTTTAGGGTTTTAGATCAGGACCTGGTCTTATGTGGTCTAGATGCGAAAAAAGCACTGAAATCTCCCTTTTTTAAATTTTCACAAATAGAATTAAGGTTTCACAAATCTAAAACTGTGTTATAAAGAATGTTTAGACCCTCTGGGATAATCCAGTCCAGATTTGATGAGTCTAGGTATAGTGGTTTTAGATCAGGACCTGGTCTAATGTGGTCTAGATGTAGAAAAAGCAGCAAAATCTTCCTTTTTTGTATTTTCACAAATAGAATTAAGGTTTCACAAATCTAAAACTGTGTTATAAAGAATGTTTAGCCTCTCTGGGATAATCCAGTCCAAATAAATCGGCTATGCAGCAATTTAAGAGGTTCAAACACGGAGGATTGTTCGCTCAGCGCTGTAAATTAAATTTCCCTTAACTTTCCCCTTAACTGCCGAATCGGAAGCTCTGAATCGGAAGCCAACTTCAGCGTCGTACTATACGGTGAGTGACGCAAAGTAACTAAACTACAACAAAGAGACCGTGCTGTATGGGCTACTTTTCAGTAGCACTTGTGTTGCCTTTTATCACACGATAGGCTTTAACATTACTTCCTACGTGTATTTACTATTATAAAACACAGTGGAAATAGCTATAATCAGGGGTGCACATAACTGGTACGCAGGTACGCATGCGCGGCAACAATCTGAAATGCGTAACGTCACTTGTGTCACAACGCGCCTTTGCGTACCTGATAGGTCATCAAAACAAAACACATATTTCGCCTACACATGTTTCTTGTCAATACTCAGTGGAGTAAATTATTAGACATGTCCAAAAAAAACAAAGACATTAAGCAGCCACTTTGCCGTTTCGCTCCCTGCTAAAATCTTCAGACTTTCTATGACTGATTGAACTGGGTGCTGGCCGTGCCGCGCAGGACATAACCGACGGACCTGTGAAGCTTCACAGGAGGCAGAGGCTTAGATCACTGGACGACAGAGTTGGTCGCCGTGTGCACAGACGGAGCTGCTGTTAACGTCGGTGTGTACAACAGAATTGTACCAAAACTACGTCAACTGGCTGCGGTGGGAGACTCCCCTGTGCACATTCTGTGCCCCGCGCACACACTGGAGAACTGCGCAAAATCAGCTGATCACAACGTTCACGCTCTGTGGTCAAGGTGCTGCAGTTTTATTTACAACAAAGTGGAGTAAAACACACAGCTGCAAACTTACTCAGGCTGTTAATGGAAGAGTTTGAAATCAGACAGAGGTGGAAGAAGTGTTACTCAAGTAAAATTAGAAAAGTATTATCATCAAAATCTAGTTAAAGTAGCGACAGTAAAAGTAGTCATTTTGCAGATTGGTCCATTTCATAATAATGTATATGATATGTTTTATAATTATTGATCATTAAAGTGTTTAAAAATTAGTTTGAATGACTTTGTATACTGCAGGGTAGCTTGTGGATTTACTCCAGGTGGAACTAAAGTCTGATTTAACACTTGATTATATTTTCACATCATTCATCCACATCTGTAAAGTAACTAAAGGTATTAAATAAATGTAGTGGAAGAAAAGTACATGATTTACCTCTGAACTGTAGTGGAGTAGAAGTACAAAGTAGCATAAAATAGAAATACTCAAGTAAACTACAAGTATCTTAAATTGTACCTAAGTACAGTACTTGAATAAGTGTACTTTGTTACTTCCCACCTCTGAAATCAGATATGACTTCAAGTCATGTGATAATTTCTTAGTATTTGATCCTTCAACTTGGCCTCAGGAAATGCAAGGACTTCACAGTTTTGGCAACAAGTTTTGGAGAAAGCAAATCGGAGGCTTACAAAGAGACAGGGAGGTGCATCTTCATCATCTTCATCATCTAGCATGCAAGAAGTGTAAATAGAGGACAGTGAAGGAGACACTGAGGAGGACAGTGAGGAAGACTGCACTTATTAACACCACGCTTCATGTGGGGTGAGTACCAAACGCTGTCTCCTGGTACTCATCTGAGTAACTCACTCAAAAAGTTATGTGCACACCTGGCTATAATGACACTTATAATGACACAAAATAAACTCTTTAATGTATTTTTCTGTTCAAAAGTGTCTCAACGATATTGTTTACCTTGCAGCAGACATGTTTCTCCTCTGACAGTGTGCGTTCTTCAGTTCCTCGACTCCACAATTTATTACCTGCGTGTTTAAAATGAAAACAGAAAAATATTGTACATCTAACCTGTAACTAACCCTGACCCGAGAAACTATACGACTAATCTGCTGAAAGCACTAACGCCAGACTACTTGTTAAGGACTTGGGACATACTGTAAGGGCTGACGTTTTAGGTTTCATTTTCTTTTCTCTGCCCAGTGTTGCGTGCCAACTCCATAGTAAGGAAAGTAGCTATTGGCTGTCCGAAAAGTCGCCAGAAGTCCCTAAATGACGTCATCGCCTAATTTGCATATCATGTAATAGCGGTAAAAAAACGTTCCTCCCCCTTCAAGGATCAAAACTTGAAACTACCAGAGTAAATCCAGACGACAGTAGATCAAATGTCTCTATTAGAAAAAGTAGAAAGTAGTTTTAGTAGTTTTTAGTTGAAATCTCCCTTACAATAAAGGCAGTATAGTATGCCCGTGTGTGTCATCTCCAATAAATGGCTTCAACCATCCTTTAAACTCAGGGTTTGATTCCCACTCCTTTCTGTACTTTTGTGAATACAGTTTAGACTGACATGATGACCTACGTGGATGTTTAGCTTGTCACAGAGGCACACACACAGTGGACGAGGTGATTAAGTGACTGAGGTTGTGTGAGTCAAAGCAAAGCAAAGGCAGTTATTTATTATAGTGTGACAGTGACAGTGAAGAAACATTTACATTTTACATTTAAATCTCGCTCATGAGCAATTAATTTGCAGTCTCGACGCGGGAGAGTGTGGCTGTCTCCTCTCTGCTCTGACTGCAGCTGAGCTGCTGCGGGAGGCAACTGTGAGTCTGAGCGCCTGTGAGTACTATGGGCAGAGGGGCTCACGGCAGCACCCGCGGCTCGTTAACTGCTGAACAATATGTGAGTCTCCAAACACCAGAAAAGTCCCTAATAACACCATTACAAGTCGTTAAATTAGTCGTTAGTCGCTTTTGACAAAAATAAGTAGCCGGAGGGTTTGGAAAGCCGCCGAATTTAACGAGAAAGTAGCCAAGTTGGCAACACTGTCTCTACCTCACCAGGTAAAACCACCCCACCCATTCCTGGACTGAGGGTTGAAAGGTTTAAGGAAGCAGCACACCTTTTGGTTTCTTGAGAAAAATAACTTTAAAAAGGCTGTCCGAAATAAACATTTTACTTTATGATGCTGTAATGACTGATATGCTGACAAGATAAGCTGAATTGATTTACATATGTAATAAATAATGATGTCAGTTTTGTAATTAGCTTTCAGTAGTTGTGTTTCAGTGACTTTCAATCCATAATAGTTATTATGATTACATGGCTAAATAGGACAGACCTCTTTTATTGGATTTTACAGCCTTTTCTATTTTATGTAAATATTATTTTTTAAATTCTGCTGTTTTTCATTGAAAAATCTCTTCCTATTTCAAAAGAATTCATATAATTTCACCTAATGACTCAACATTAATGCAAGATTGTAAGAGTACACTGAACAAGTAGGACACACCTTTTTTATTGGCATTTAAAAACATCCAAGTGCTTCTAAAAACACTACAGCTAGAATTATACATTCAAATAATGCAGGTTTATTCTGTACACACAACCTCTTTTGCATGTCTGTCCATCTAGTGGGATCCCTCTTCAGTTGCTCTCTATAGCCTACTATAGCTAGCACCTTGCCGACCCCGAGAACAACATCTATGTGGATTTGTTCTCTTTTGGTGACCTCCTCCAGACAATCCTGGAGACACTGCATATCCTCCATGAAGCTCTCGAATACTTCTCTGGCTTTCTTTTGATATGTACAGTTTACTCCAATCTCTGTGGTGGTGGTGACAGCGCTGTTGACTCCGCTTGTAATTCCCATGCCTACCCCGGCCATTGTCAGAACTAAAGACACTCCAGCTGTTACAGGACTTAAAACCAAACCAACGATGGAGAGCACACTTCCTACTGCCCCCACTGAGCTGCCTGCCACACTGGAGATCTTTGCTCCCATATTCATCCTGTCTAACTGAACAGCATGCTCCTCCAGGCCCTTTATGCCGCGTTTCCACTACACAGCCTCGCTCGGCCCCGCTCGGCCTCCTTTGGCCGCGCCCGGCCTCGTTAGGACCAGCTCACTTTGTGGCGCGTTTCCATTACAGTTTAGGAACCGGGTCAGTATCTATAGTAACAGTGTAGGCGGAGCGACGCTGCTTAAAACTGCCGTGACGTCATCTTCAATGCGACACAACAATGGAGATGTGAAAGCGATCGTTTGCTTGTTTTTTGCTGTGTGGTTTATTATCACAAGAAATAGACAAGAGTTGTTTCGAAAGAGGCGACGTATAGCAAGACGAGGTATAGAAGAAGCTGACGCGAGAGTTCGGGCAGTCCTCCTACGCCGCAGAGACTACAGGACGACTCGAATCACTACTAACTACAATGCTACTTGGTAAGCTAACGTTCGCTAACTAGCAATGTGTTTAGGCTCACTCTCCCTATACGACCAAAGTATTTCAAGTATTTAATTAATTGTAGCTACCACTTTTACGTATTAAAATATGTATGCTTTTGTTTGTGTATTTCAGAAGTTACCGACCGAGCTACCGAGTGGTGGAATGTGATTGTTCCATCTTTCACACACTCAGTGGGTGGAGAACTTCAGGATGCCTGAGGAAAACCTACGTGTAATACCTAAATATTCATTGTATTGTATTGAACATAAATACATCTTTTCTTTTTCACATACATGTGTTTGTCAAATTATTTAAACCAAAAAAATGTTATCAGAATTGACTATTTAGTAAATATTTGAATTTCAAGCACAAGTACTGCCCCCATAATAATAATCTAATAAATTAAGCAAATATCAAAGCAAACTATAAACATAAATACAAAAGTGTAAAACACAACAGAACTATATTCATAAATGCAAGTGTAAAAAATTGTTAACATGGATGGAGGCTAAAGTATCCACAGCATAAAATAATATGATTATGATGGTTTGTCTGAAAGACACAGCCTCAAGGTTCAAGGTTTTTTATTTTGTCATACGAACATAGCTAGTGTAGTTATGACAATGAACATCTTAGGTCACAGGCTCCTCCAACAGTGCAACACAATAACCCAGATCAACAGAAATATAGTGCAAGTAAATATTAAGCGCTGTGCACCGCTCTCTTTGTATAGGTGTTTTCTTTTGTTCTCTTCTCTTTGAAATATATAAGCAATGTGTTTGAGTCTAGCACAACGAGGGTATTACAATTGAGTAATTTTTCTACATGTATTTATCATGTATTCTTAATACCATTATGTAATGTTATGTTTTAGAGGAGGACCTCAAGCTAGCAAACTCAATTTCAAACAGTATGCAGAGTTGTCCTGCTAAAGAGTTAAAATGTATTATTTAACCAAGTATTTATTCTCTTATTTGCTTTAATTGCAACAGATGATAAAGGTTTCACTGTGATAAGTATTCTCTTAAATCCATAAACCCCTGTACAGTGCTTTGTGGACGATGGTGTTTATGATATTTCTGACTGCAGAGGGACGCCTAGATGATGCCATCTTTCTGTGCGATCGCTGGTGGGTGCAATTATTTATTAACAAGCAATAAGATAAGACATGGCATTGATTCTGCTGGGCCAGTTGCCGTTCCTGCAGGGCCAGATCCTCTCCTCCTCGGTTTGTGCTGTTGATGCAGAGGACGTTGTGTCCTCCTCGCTGTTCCTCCTCGCTAGTCCCAATGTAATCATCTAGAACAGAAACATGACTTGTAAATTCCACAAACTACTGCAGCACAATACTATAAATAGCAACAACAACTATAGAAAAGACAAACTGAACGTAAACAATGGCACATATGGTGTTAGCAAACAATAGCTCTCGCTAATGCTATCTGCCTAGCTAGCCTTCGGGGCTCCATCGGGGTTGTCGAACATAAATGTAAGGATCAAATAGACTTATTTGTTAGAAGTGAGCTTTAAAACAGATAGGGACACAAAGCAGGGACACAAAGCAGGGACACAAAGCTTTCAAGCAAATAACACAGCGTTAGCAAAAACGTACCATGCAGACTCCAGTAACGCCGTTGGAGAGTCCAGTGTCTGTGTAGAGACCTCCTGAAAGACTTTGATATTGCGAGTTGTCCCGTCGAGCACCCGCTGGACCTTATCATCTGCAATATAATGGACGTCGTCACTTCCTCGACCGACCATGGTGTGCTTTTCTTTGCCATTGTTGTAGCTCCTCCGTTAACAAAAATGCTGTTTGTAAAAATGGATTATCTCGCGCGCAGATTGTGACGATTCTCTCCGACCAATCAGCAGCCGAGAGCGTTGACGTCACAAACACAGCCCGGTTGCCTCTGGCCCTGGCCCCACGATTTTATGAGGCCAGAAAAACTGAGAATTAGGACCAGCCGGCCGGTACTAGGCCAAGTGGAAACGCAACCACAAACGGGCCGCTGACGTCACAGCCCTCTTAAACCGGGCTGCGCGCTGTAGTGGAAACGCGGCATTAGAGACTGTTCCATCCTCGGCTGTCGCTCTTTAAACTCATCGATGAAGCCAGAGCAGGGTTCGTCCTCCTGAAACAAGAACACCATCTGGAAGCTCTGGTTCTGCCTGACGATGAGAATTGAAGAAATTAACAAATACAAATTAACATGATGAATCTCAATTAGTATGTAACCCATAATATAGTATACAAATATTAGATTTGGGATTTCCTTTTTGTGACACACATTAGGAGACTAAAAAGAGCAATAAAATCAATATTAAAAAACTAAATATTTCATAAATAAATGAAAACATACAGTAGTATTTACTTCTGCTGGACAAGGACCATAACCCAAGTGTGCTTTCAAAATGAGTCCTCATAAAATGAATCATGAATATCTAGTTAAGTCTATTTAGTAACAAAAGTTACCTCTAAAATCAGGGACGTGCACAGGTACGGGCTAATGTTGCCCGGGCAACGGCCCGTTTGGCCTTTTTGGCTGACCTGCCCCTATGGAGAGAGCGAGAGTTTGTTTTTCTTTTTTCTGTTGTGGCCGAATCAATATGATAAGCCCACAATTAGTATTGTAGCGTCTCGCTGCGCGAAACACACTTTGTCAGCGCTGTCATCTGCCGGTGCGTTAAGACCACCTCAGTGTCGGATTTTGGAAACTTAATTTTGAGTTGTCTCATCATGGCAGTTAGGGTATAAGGGACAAA